CTTTCTTCATCCTGACCTGGTACAGAAACCTGAGATGGCTTTCCCTAGAGACCTTGAAAAGCCACAACCTGATGGTACCCAGTCAGGCAGTGTCAGCCAGGCTTTAGCTGCAGAACAACCCACCTCAACATCCATCCCCGTCCCTCTGATCACAGGCTCAGGTGTGAGCATCCAAACCCCTGTGACCATGGCATGAGGGTGAGAGGTCCCTGTATGGTGACTGAGGGTCAGATTGGGTTTTCCTGAACAGTTGACTGCACCACAAACTGACTGTGAATTCACTGGGTTCTCTGAGCCACAGTGAGTTGTCCAGCCTGCCTTGGTCCATCTCTGCAGATCCTTGTACCCACCCACCAGTGCTGGGTAGTCCCAAGCCTGACTCTGTTCCTCAGCCTGCCAGAAGCCCATCTTGCCACCACACCTTAGGCCAGCAAGGTCTGTCCCCGAGGCTATATTTGGTCCCGTGGAATGTCCGGGCTGGCCTTGCCACAGCTTTATTAAAGAGTGAGGAGGCAGGCGGGACATGTTCCTTGTTGCACTGGGGCCTGCTGAACACGTCAGCAATTCCAGCTCTGTTGGCAGGGTTAGCGGTCCACATGGCATTCCAGTACCAGCAGTGAGGCTGAGGCAAGACCTGTTTAGGCCACCTTGGCCTCAGCCAGTCAGGACATCCCAGACCTCAAGGGCACTGCAGGGCCCACTCCTGGGACATCCTTGCCATCCTCAGGCACAGAAAGAAAGTGGCTGTGGGTGCTTTAAGCTGGGCGGTGGTGTGTGGGATGTAGACATAGCTTTGTTGAGCTGAGACTGATAGAATCCTCAGCAGCTGCATGGTGGGCATGACCACCCAAGCTTGAGAATGAACTTCCTGCCTCCAAGCTTTGTCCTGAAAAAGTTAAGGTGGTAAACTTCATGCTTGGGGTAGTGTTGAAGGAGCCCACCCAACACATAGGCCAGCCGGCCTCAGACTCACAACTCTGCCCTCCTACAGTGTGCCGCTGCCCTGCCTACTGGAGAACTGTTACACTGCCCAAAGGCCTATGGTGCCTTGCATACAGCAAGTGCTTAATAAATGCTGAGAAGCAGAAGTGCTGGGCTGACCTGTGCCTGACTCCTGTAAGCCCTACCCCCTCCCTGTCGCCTGCTCCACAGGGTTACAGTGGTGTATCATGAAGCGGAGGGGGTGTTTTGCCTATGTACCTTGTACAGTCTACTTTAAGACATCTGGTCACTGGGTGTCAAGGCCAACCTGGATTACATTACCAAGTTCAAGGACAAAAGAAAAAACACCTCACTGTGGCTAGTGACAGGCAGGTGTGTCACAGCCCTCAGGGACACTGAAGTCACTCAGGCGGGCTGTCCCCCAGGCAGTCACAACCCAGTCCCTGTCCTTTCAGACTGACCAGGTCCCCTGGCCACATACTAATGTCACCTGGTTTGGAACAAGTATTCAGGGACCTGCCCTCTTGAGCTTGCTGCACACAATATCCACAGTTCCTTATGGAATTGACCTGCATCCCTTGATCCTGGTCTCGACTCCTTCATGCCTACATCTTCCCAGGCATCTGTTACTCTACCCCTAACCATGCCCCAGCCCCTCACTGGGGGTTTCTAGGTGGGGCTCCACACCTAGTCATGGCTTATTTTTTGTGGGGTGGGGGAGTTTGACACAGGGTTTCTCTGTGTAGTCCTGACTCCTAGAACTCACTCTGTAGACCAGACTGGCCTCAAACTCAAAAGATCCACCTGCCTCTGCCTCCTGAGGGCTGGGATTAAAGGTGTGCACCACCAGCTACTGGGCATGGGGCCTCCCCTGGTGTGTGGTTAATAAACCAGTACACTTCATTGAAGAAAGCTGCTTTTCCTTTTCCCACTGGTATCAATTGGAGACAGCTTCTTCGGTAGGGTGGGAGCTCCAGTCTTTCCCATGTGTGCCCCATTCTTGCTGAGTTCATACGTGTGTCAGTCCTGTTGTGTCTGGAAGACAATTTTCATGTAGGTTTTCTGAGGTGTGGTGAAGACCTCCCGTTTATGACTGGGCTCCTGATCTCACTTTCTGCACTTTGTCCAGTTGTGGGAGGGAGCTTCCCTGATGGCTCTGACCTCTGAAGGCTTTATCATCCGGGCAGCGAGGGCAGAACCATGGATTCCAGAACACCCTACCCAACAAACTGGCTCCTAGTTCCTTGCTCAGGCAGGTGTCGGGCTGTGAGTTCCAGCTGTCATCTATAATGTAATGTTAGCAAGGCCCCTGTCTCCAGCCCCTAGCATGCCAAAGCTACCAAAGGTGTCTCGTGCCTTCTAGACCCTCCCACCCTCCCCATGGGGCTGAGAAGCCACCAGGAGCCAGTGAAATGGCACTCCCAGGAGGCACTGGTCATTCTGCAGGCGTGACCTGGGCGAGGACCAAGTTCTCTGGAATGGAACCAATAGAGTGGCTGTCAGTGTCTCTGGTTCCTGGGTTTACCAGAGTGACCCTGGGCTGGGGTTCCCTGAGAAGGGGAAACCCAGGCCCACATGTTCCTCTCTGTTCTCACTGTCATTCACTTCCAAATGCTTCTTGTGACTCAGACACATCTGCTGCTTGGCTTCCTAGAGGTGACCAGCAGGAACAGTCTTCCCAGAGAGGGGACAGCATATGCAGGTGCACCTAGGAAAGACAGGGCAGGACCCACAGCAGGCTTCAGCCCTGGAGGCGAGAGACTGAAGGATGTTTTCTCTGTGATGCTACCTTGCCAGGGTCAGGGAGTCAATAGTGAGGAGGAAAGATGAGGTCCCTGGGCAGCCTCAGATCTCAGGGTCTGCACCCCAAGACCAAACCTGGGCTCCAGAGGGAAAGGTGTGGGCCGAGGCTGTGTGACAGCAAAATTATCCCCCCAGTATTAAATATAAAAGTAGAAGGGAGGCTGGGCTCTGGCAGCACATTCCTTTAATCCCAGCATTTGAGAGGCAGAAGCAAGCAGATCTTGAGGCCAGCCTAGTCTACAGAGTGAGTTCCAGGACAGGCTCCAAAGAGAAACCCTGTCTCGGAAATAAATAAATAAATAAATAAATAAATAATAATTTTAAAAAAGCCAGGCAGTGGTGGCGCATAGCGCATGCCTTTAATCCCAACAACACTCTGAAGGCAGAGGCAGGCGGATCTCTGTGAGTTCGAGGCCAGCCAGGTCTACAATAGCTAGTTCTAGGACAGGCTCCAAAGCTACAGAGAAACCCTGTCTCGAAAACACCAAAGGAAAAAAAAAGAAAGAAAGAAAGAAGGAAGGAAGGAAGGAAGGAAGGAAGGAAGGAAGAAAGAAAGAAAGAAAGAAAAGAAAAGAAAAAAGAAAAGAAAAAGAGAAGGGAGAGAGACACAGGCACAGGCCAATTGAGGGGGCTGGCCTACAGCTTCTTCCCCGCGTCACCACAAGGTGGCGTCCAAGAGCCACACTGTGCCAAAGAGTCCCCACTTCCTGAGACCCTGGGACCTTGGTGGTGGCTGGTGTGGATCCTCCCCTGTACCCAAAGTCTCTGGAGGCCCCGAGATCCAGAGAGATTTGGCCTGAGCCAGCCTCAGAATCCAGAGTTGCTCTGCATCCTTGGCTACATCACAAGCCTGAGGCCAGCCTGGGCTACATGAAGCCATTCCCCCTCCACCCCCCCCCACCAAATAACAATAACTATAATAACAAATGAGGGGAAGCCTTGGGCGGCTCAGTGAGGAAAAGTACTTAACAACCAAGCCTGACAACCCGAATTCCAGGGTGTCCTCTGCCCTTCTTGTGCAAACACAGACACACATACACACACACAAGTAAATGTGTTTTTTTTTAATTAGGAAAAAGCTGCAGACCCCCCTCCCCATGGCCCTGGCCCTCGCTGTAACCAGTGGGTATCCATCAGTGGGTCCCCATGAGTGACACTCAAGAGCTCGGCATATGGATGATGGGTGGGGATGTGGGAACCTGGTCACCTACCCACCTACCCACCGCTGTCCCATCTAGAGCTCAGTTTTCCCATGTGCTGCAGGTTGAATGTGAATGACTCAATTCACTGTGCCCTGGTCTGACTGTCCACACAGGGACCACACAGCTGTCTGAGCCAGGATCCTCAGCCCAGTGACTGAGTCTGCTTCCTGCTGTAACACAGCAAAGTGTGGGTGGGATCTGTTGGTTTGTATTGAAGGAGCCCCCAACCTCCAATGCCTAGAATCCCCCAGTGGTCAGGATGGAGCCCCACCTAGAATCCCCAGTTAGGGTTGTCATTTCCCTAATGCATGCCCAGCCTTGGATTCCATTCCAAGTTGTTTTTGTTTTTTGATTTTTTGAGACAGGGTTTCTCTGTGGCTTTGGAGCCTGTCCTGGAACTAGCTCTCATAGAACAGGCTGGCCTTGAACTCACAGGGATCCACCAACCTCTGCTCTCCCCCCTCCCCCCCACCACTTGCCAGTGTTGGAATTTAAGGCATACACAACAGCCTGGCCCATTCCAAGCTTTTTGTGGTTTGGGCTTTTGTTGTTTGGTTGGTTGATTTTGAGACATGGTTTTGCCCTGTTTCCATAACACCTGTGCTCCATCAAACCCACAGGGACCCATTGATTACAGCGAGGGTCAGGGCCATGGGGGTTGCAGCCGGTGGCCACCTGAGCTGAGACAGTTGGTTCAGGTGGTTGTGGCCCAAGGACTCTGTGCTTTGACTCTTTAAAGGGATCGTGGCTTTGTGTTCTGGCCCAGGCGGTGGCAGCAAACTCAGATAATCCCTGAAAAACTGGAGGCTCAGGCCACAGCACTGAACCAGTCAGCTCTCATCTTGGAGGGACGTTTGAATTTACTTTTCAAAAAGTCACTTTAGGGCTGGAGAGATGGCTCAGTGGTTAAGAGCACTGCCTGCTCTTCCAAAGGTCCTGAGTTCAATTCCCAGCAACCGCATGGTGGCTCACAACCATCTATAATGAGGTCTAGTGCCCTCTTCTGGCCCTTTGGGCATACATGCAGACAGAATACTGAGACTACTGTATACTACTGTATACATAATAAATAAAAAAAAGTTACTTTAATAGTTCACCCTTTTTCTATTGTACAGCATGTTGTTGGTTCTTATTGATTCACAGGTACTTCCGTGTAGCCTTCACTGTCCTGGAACTCGCTCTGTAAACCAGGCTCGAACTCAGAGATCTACCTGCCTCTGCCTCCAAGGGTTGGGATTAAAGGTGTGCGCCACCATGGCCCAGCTTCCATTCCAAATTTTACATCAAAGATGTTCCCTTTTCATAAACATGCTGTCTTCTATTCATTTCTTTAATCTACTGTTGGTTCTTGTTGATTTGCAGAAACTTTTTATATACTGTGAAGTCAGGCTTCATGTGTCGACTGTCGTGGATTTTCATCTGTTTCCCTGTGTGAAGTGTTTGGGTGTAGGTGTTTTATATTTGTGTGTTGTCAGTTATTAATCTCTTAATTAGAGCCTCTTGAATTTAATGTCACCCTACACAGCACACTGAGATGTATGACTTTCCTGTGTATTTTCCTTGCTTTTGGAGGTGGGGGGGGGTCAAGATCCCACTCTGTAGACCAGGCTAGCCCTGTTCTCTCAGGGATTTCCCCTGCCTCTGAAGTACACAAAAATATCACTGGTGCTGAATTTTTAGAATGTTTTACTTGTTTTTCTCCGTGGAGTCAAATTTAACACCTTCTAGAATGTTCTCTCGGCAGAGCCATTCCTGGGTGAGTATGTGTCAGGAGACTTGTGACAACATCATCTTACAAGGCGCCAGTGGACAGAGACACTGAGAGGCTCAGGGAGAGACAAGGTTGCCCATGACAACAAGTCTGTGTCAGAAGGGAAACTGCTCCATCCTGTGGGGCGGGCAAGGGAGAGGCATGCTGCATGCTGGGTAAGCGCTCTGAAATGAGATGTCTCTGGCACCCCAAAAAAAGGGCTGGGAGGATCAGGAGGCTGGGGCTACCCCTCCCCCTACTGGGCCCTTGCTGAACTGTGGTAGGTGGTAACCATGAGCAGCGGGAGTCATCCCCTGAAGTCCTAGCTCCAATGGCCTCATGAATGACATTCTCCCAGCCTAAACCCAGATGGGATCTGTCCCCCTTACTCAGGCCATGACCACATAGGCTGGAGAATCTGTTCCTTGTCCCCAACTAAAGGACCAGGGATGGCGAAGGCCCAAGACCAAAGTTTCTCTGGGGCCCACCAACCTATAGGCAGTGCAGTGTAGATTAGGGAGAAAGTTCTGGTAATGGGTGTGCGGGTTACACTGCGCTCCTTGTGTCCCTCTTCTCTCTCTAGCCTCTCTCCCTCCACTCCAGCAACAGGGCCAACTCCCAGCTTCTCCAACACACCAGGGTCTCTTCTGCTCTGGGGTCTCTGCCCCAGGGCCTTAGCACCTGTGCAAGGACAGGAAAGGTTGCTGTGGAGGGCAGGACAGAGCCAACAATGTCCCCAGCCCCTTCTCCCTCCCCGCCCCCGTGGGCTGCGCCTTCAGCAGGGCGTGCCTGGAAGGGGCGGAGGGGCGGGGGCGGGTGGCCTAGCCGGTCTGACAGGAGCCGGCCAGCGGAGTCTCAGGCTGGCGGCGGCCATGGAGGGGCTGCGTCGCGGGCTGTCGCGCTGGAAGCGCTACCACATCAAGGTGCACTTGGCCGACGAGGCGTTGCTGCTGCCACTGACCGTGCGGCCCCGCGACACGCTGAGCGACCTGCGCGCGCAGCTAGTGGGCCAGGGCGTGAGCTCGTGGCGCAGAACCTTCTACTACAACGCTAGGCCTCTGCCAGATCACCAGACGGTGCGTGAGGCGCGCCTACAGGACGGCTCGGTCCTACTGCTGCTCAGCGACCCCAGGTGATTAGGGACCGAGGAGAGAACCTGGGCTGGGGACCTGGAGGAGAACCTGAGCTGGGAACCTGGGCTGGGGACCTGGGAGAGAACCTGAGCTGGGGACCTGGGCTGGGGACTTGGGCGAGCACCTGGGCGAGGACCTGGTAGGATCATGGGCTCTGGCTTATGGAGGATGGCCTGGTGTGGTGGTGGCGGCTCAGGGATGGGGTGAGGGAGACCGCTCTGCTGGGTCCTGTTCCTCTCTGCCTCATTAGCTCCTTTGGTCTGTGGTGTTGGCTCCAACAGTGGCACTTAGTACTCCCTTTTCTGTCCTCCTCTCTGGGTCCTTGTCTCTATCACTGCAGATCTCTCTATCTCTGTTCTTGCCTCTCTCTGCGCCTCCCTCCCCGCATTTCCTCGGACCTCTGTCTGTCTGTCTGTCTGTCTCCATCTCTCCTTCAGTGTCTGTCCACTCCCATTGGGGTGCACAGAGCAAGCAGCTCTGAGGGCTGCTACACACTCCCAGCCCTGACCCCGTCACAAGCCGGGGGGAACACTGTGGTCAGTGTGTCTCTAGTGAGACCAGGGGGTGTCTTCATGAGTACAAAGACACTTTAGCTGAACCCCGGGCTACCTGGAAAGGCCTGGAAGCCCAGTGATGCCTGCTTTTGTCTTAACCTTGTGTCTTTCTTTGTTCCCCCTCAGGTAACTGGGTCTGGAGGAGTTGGAACCATGATTTTTGGGACGCAAGCTGGCTGAAGGAGCAAACTGGGCCGGGGCAGCACACTTCTCTCTTCCTGGGAGCCCAGCCTTATTCTAGGTAAGCCATTCAAATGGGCACCTTAGACATAGAATCCACAGATGGGAAAATTTAGAGCCTATGGGACACTGACCTCACTCTCCCACCTCTCCCACCTCCTAATGCTGGCTTGGCACTATTGCCGCCAACTTGCTGTGTGACCTTGAGAAATTCCCTGCTCTCCTCTGACCTCACTGTGATGCAGGCCCAGACTGACCACACTCGGGTGGCAGGATGTTTGCTTGTGCTCTGCCTGCAATTCCTGTAAGAGCCACCAGGGTGCACTAAGGCAGCTTTACCTGCAATTCCTGTGGTGTCCATCAGGGGGCTTCAAGCACTGTGGCTGTCTACAGGAGAAGGTCTCCAAAGGTCCTGGGTGACCACAGCACTCCCCATCTATACCCAGATCCAGGCCATTGGGAAAGGGTTAGAAGGGTCATTGGCCTGAAAGTTGCTGGTTCACATCACTGGGACCACATGTTCCTTGCAGATCCCGGTGCTGGGCTCCCAGGTAGATGTGACACCTGGGCCCAACTGATGCCCACTGCCTCCCAGATGCTGTCCAACCCTCCAGCAAGGAGTCTTACGGTTTCTCCATGGCCTTCGGCTGTGTCCTCATTCAGGAAGCCCTCCAGTCAGCAGGCACAGTTCCTTCTTTGGTGACCCACAGGACTCCAGCTGAGAACAGTTCTGGCTACAGGAGGATCTGCTGGGGCCATGACCAAGGAGACTCTGATCTGAGGGGACTCAATGAGCCTACGCATGTGAAAAGTGATCTGTCACGGACTGTGGATGCTCTCCTCTGCAGCCCAGTGTTGGGGTGTTGTGCTGAACTTTTGGGAACTCCCCCCCCCATGCTGTGGGCTGCATGGTGGGCCCAGAAGGCAATACGTTCTAATTAAGAGTTGTACAGGCCTCAGGGTGCGGAGGTGGGGACCTTGGGGAGCTGGGCTGCTGGGCTTGCACAAGTGTGCCAGGGACTCAGGGGGTCTCTTCCTCCCCTCCAGTCTCCTTTGCTCGGCTGTGTGGGTAGCTGCAGTCCTTGCGGGAGAGGGCTGTGATTCTGTGGCCCCAGCCACAGGGGATAACTGGTGGGGGGGAAGGGCTGGCATTGAGGGGGGGCGAGGAAAGCATTTTGACATTTAACAAACACTATGTAAATTGAATGCAAATCACATGCAAATCACCACTCCTTCCTTAAGCCCTACAGCCCTGGTGTGTTCAGAAATAATAATGTAGGGCCTGTCCCCTGGTGCCTATCCAGCGGCCTTCCCTCCCTTTAGCCTCCCTCCCTCTCTCCCTTCCTCCTCCACTTCCCGGCTTTGATCCAAGGCCTCCCAGCCTGAAGTGGATGCACACAGCAAGATGGGTTCCCTGCATCCTGTTTTTGTAGAACCAAGGCCCACAGAGGCTCTGGGTCTGCCCTGAGGCCCCAAAGCCACGAATTCCTGACTTCCTGTGCCCTTTCTCCAACAGTCATCAGAAACCACCGTGGACAGAACACGTGACCCACCCAGGAGGCTCCAGGCCCTGGGAGGTGAGGTGTTAGTCAGGCTGCTAAGCATGCTTGGCCCACAAGCTCAACTTGCTCCTTGCCTCCTGAGGGCTCCGTGAATTCTGGCCATAGGTCCCTCTGCTTTTTTTTTTCTTACAAACTCCTATATATCCTACAAAGGCCTACTTTCGGTGTCCCATTTTTGCGTCGCCGTTCTTAATACTCCAATAATAGCCTCCAGTCCATCCCGTCCCCCCACCCCAACCCCTGCCGTCCCTGCTAGCTGGCCTAAACCTGAGTCATGAGACCAGGTGGTGCAGGCTCGTTGGTGACCTGGAGCCCCAAGGTCATCCAGTTTGGGCTCTAGGTACAGGGGGCATTTTCCACGCTTATCAAATGTAAAAGACTGAAGAAGAAGCAGGTGCCTGCGGTGACACTCCCTTTCCCAGTGTCTTTGTGCTGTGTGTCCGTGTGGTCCCCACCCCCACCCCCTCTATTTCTACTCCTGCTGACCCAGCCAAGTGCCCATTCTCCCTCCAGGGCTTGGCGAGCCTCAGACCCCACCCAGCCAGCAAGCCCTGGCTGGGTAGGAAGTTTCGGTGAGACTTGGCAGCCTCTCTGGTCTCACTGAGGCATGTGACATCCAGGGAGGGGCCGACTGCTGCCATGGGGCCCACGTACTTTGGGGCTGGGCGCCGGCCAACAGTCAGCGTGGGAGGAGGGTGGATTCCACAGCGCTCCCCCTGCTGTCAGAGCATTTGCTGGAGACGCAGCGGGGCTGCCAGGGACAGCAGCCCGTCTATGGACTGTGTCTGTGTCTATGTCTGTTTCTGTGTCTGAGCGCATCTATGCAGTTTTCAAAAACTACGGAAGGCTGGGGCGTGGTCAGGGTGAAGCCCCGCCTAGAATTCTCCAGTGAGAGGCTGGGGTGCAGTTATGGTGGAGCCCCTTCTTGGAGGTCACCCCACCCCTCCTTTGGGGTTTCCAGGCAGGGCCTAATCTTGAGTGACACCCGCCTGAACCTCACTCTCACACTGAGCCTCTCTGGGGAGGCACAGGACCTTTGCACAATTTGCTTTACTCTTTAACCCCACTTCCACCTTTAACATTTTCCTTTTCCTTTGTGTTTAGTTTTTAATTTTGTTGCTCTTTTTGATCCAGGTTTGTAACTGTAGCCCAACCTGACCTCAAACTGGCAACAATTCTGCTTCAGGATGGTGACTGGAGGGATCCGGAGCCTGGGCTTGCATCATGTATCTCCAGAAACACTTTTTGGGGGAGGTTCTCAAATCAAATGATTCATGTTCCCTTAAACCTTTTTTTTATTTTTTGGAGAGGTCTCACTCTGTAGTCCAGGCTGTCCTGGAACTAGCTGTATTTATTATGCTGTTATTCATCCGGGATGTGTTTCCCCTGCAGCCTGGACTGGGATTCGGGAAGCAGGCAGTGGGGGTTTGGGGTACGCTGCCCTATCCGGCTCTGGTCACTGCAGGTCCTAGATGCTCTGATTCCTTCTGGGCTGGAATTCGTAGCACTCGGCTCCCAGCTCTGTGATAAATAGGAGGAACTCAGAATTAGTTATGGCTGGACACAGCCCAGACCACTGTCTGCACAGGGCTCTGGAGGAGGCTGGGCTGCCTTGGGAAGTCACTTTCCCTCTCTCAACTTCTGTAGCCTCATGGAGGTGGCTCTGGTCAAATATCAGTCTGAATTATAAGAATTTAGAGGCAGAGGCATTATGGCTCACGCCTTAATCCCAGCACTCGGGAGGCAGAGGCAGGAGGATCTCTGTGAGTGAGGTCAGCCTGGTCTACATAAATGAGTTCAGGGTCAGCCAGAGCTGACTGAGACCCTGTTTCAAAAAAAGCCAAAAATTGAAAAGAAGCACGATGTAGGACGTACTGCTTTCATTGGTTGAATAAAGAGACTGCCGTGTCCTTTTGATAGTGCAAAAACTTAGGTAGGCGAGAAAGACAGAACTGGATGCTGGGAAGAAGAGCAGAGTCAGGCAGATGCTATGAAGCTCCGGCCTGAGATGGATGTAGGTTAGAATCTTTCCCGGTAAAACACGACCTCGTGGTGCTACACAGATTATTAGAAATGGATTAGATCAAGATGTGAGAGTTAGCCAATAAGAGGCTAGAGCTAATGGGCCAGGCAGTGTTTTAATTAATACTATTTTGGGGGTCCTGCTGCCCCTCCCCCTCTCCTCTTACAACAGAAGCAGGCAGGATAATTTAGTGTTGTGTCTCATGTGTCTGGTGTGTGTTGGGGAAGCAGAAAGGGATCCGGGGAAAATATCTAGAAGGGAAAACAGCGAACTCAGCACATGCCAAGGTCCTGGGGCAGAATAGTCTGACCTGTTGGAGGTTCTCCCTACTATCTCCACTTCTTGTGTGGGACACCGAGGCTGGGGACTGGCTGCAGTGGAAGCTTGCAGGGTTCATCGCTAGGCTCCCCATCTGTCCCAGCACCCCCTGAGTGCCCCCCATCTCTTCCCACCAGCTCCTCTTCCCCATCTCTTTCCAGGGAAGCAACTTCTTGTTCACAGTGGCGTGGAGGGAGGCAGAGGTCAGAGGTTGATGGGCAGGAATCAGGTCCAGGGATTGAACTCAGACTGTTGGGCTTTGGCTACAAGCCCTGGCTGAGCCATCTCTGAGCTCTGAGTTTGCACTCAGTGGTTAAATGCTTTCTTTAGCTCATTCCATCCTGACAGGAGTGGGGGGCTGTGATCAAGACATAGCCCCCCCGTTTTACAAGAACTTTCCTAATGCTGGGGTCTAAGTTTCTGAACAGGGTGGGTTTAAACTTGAGACTGTTTAAAAGTTAAGATGGCCCATTCAGCCTGGGATGCAAGGGTCTGTTCCCTGTGCTGGAGCCACAACAGCCTCTCTGGGGCTGGTGGGTCTGGATCCTGAGGGCAGAAAAGCACACGCCTGGGGCGAGCTTCCAGTCACGGCTGGAATCCTATACACACCAGACACCTGCTGAGACCTGGGCTTGGGGCCACAGGTCTTCCTCTCCCCCTCCATCTTACAGGGCAGCCACTGAGGCAGAGGGCAAGCTGGGACCCTAGTGGAATCACAGAGAGGGGGAGAAACCCACCATCTCACCCCTCCCCTGGCTTGCTGAATCACAACCCCATCCCCAACATGGTGCAGATGTGCAAACTGAGGCACCATGACCCTGACAACTGATCAGGCACACATACAGAGGCACAAATACGTGAATACAAACATAATAAAAAAAATTAAGAGCCTAGTCCTGTTGCCATGGTCACTAGCCTATGTAGACGGCCTCTTATGGGTTACATAACTATTTAAGTTTCTATAGTCTCAAGTTCATTTACCTCACAAAGACTTCAAGGGGGCCAGGAGCCTGCGGGTTGGGCCCTCAGACTCCTACGGTTGACAAAATCACCAGGGTCCACAGCTACCACAGGCTCCAGGCCACCCTGAGGACACACACCGAGGTCCGGCGAGATGGCTCGGTGGGGGCTTGCTGCCAAGCTCGATGACCTCAGTTCGATCCCCGAGCCGCACCGTGGAAGGAGACCTTCCTCCAGCCTTTACGCACGTGATAATTGAATGGAAAATGAGGGTGTTCTGGCAGGCAGGAGCCCGGCTCTACTATGTCCCCACCCAAAGCTGCACACCCTGTCCTCTACCAGCTGCCTGGGAACAATTACAGTGTCCCAGACACTGCACAGACAGACCTCATGTTTAATTCATCCTGAGCTAATGACAGCCACAGATGGAGGGGGTAGCCTGGATCCTTTACTCCTGGTTGATGTGCTTGGGGTGGTTGCCAGGTGGAGGTTTGTGTCCTGAACTTGCTCTGGGGTCCCCTCCACCTGTGGGGTATCCTTTCAGAGGACACGGGGGGTGGGGACACTGCTGTGAGCTCAGGGACATATTTCCCCCTCCCACCTGCACCCCTGAGTGGGTCATGTGACCAGGTGGGTCAGTAGGCTGGGACTTCCACTGAGAGATGGCTGGAATGGGGAGGAGACATTAGAGTTAGTGACAGGGGAGTGGGCATGTGTCAGCAGCAAATACTGCATTGACCTGCCTCACCACAGGAGACCTGAGGAGCCAGGGATAGGACAGACATCGTGTGACCTCACACACACATGCAATAAATTCACAAGATGAACTATGTAGATTTACTTTGTGGAGATGGCAGCTGTGGGTTTGTGCACTGTGGGTGTAGTTACCTGCGGCGGCCAGAAGAGAGCATCAGACCCACAAAGCTGGAGTCACAGGATGTGGGAACCAGAATCCAGGTCCTTGGGAAGAGCAGCAGGGTTCCTAAACGGCTGTCAGTCCCAGAAAAGCAAAACAGACAAGCAGGGCATGGTGGTGGCGCACACCTTTAATCCCAGCACTTGAGAAGCAGAGGAGGATCTCTTTGAGTTTGAGGTCAGCCTGGTCTGCACAGTGTGTTCCAAGACAGCCTAGGCTATGTAAGCATACCCTGTCCCAAAATAAACAATTATAAATAAATACATTGCCAAATAAATAAAGAAATAAATACATTGGGGGGGGGGAGTGGGAGGGTGTTGGGAAGAGGGGCGTAAATGGAAACTTTCATAATTTAATAAAATTACTTTCAAAAAAAATAAACAAATACATTGCAAAGACACTTTGGGCACTGATTGGCACACAGTAGTTGCTTCAAACAAGTCTGAAATCAGTCTGTCTTTTGGGACTGAAAGCAACAAGAGGTGGGAGAGGCCTGTGAGGTGGGTCGCCTATGGCCAACCAGATTTCAAACCCAGGGCCCCGCCTGGGGTCACATCTGAGCAGTTGGGAAGTGCTCCTGGGGCAGCTTCATCCTGGGGCCCGCACAGCTCTGAGAAAAGCCTGGCGCAATCCCAGGCTAGGACCCTGGACTGGCAGCTGTGGACCAGGTCACCAGGATGCACTGGTAACCAGCGTTTCTATGGGAACCTGGCAGGGGCTGGCCAGAGAGCAATTAGGCATCCCGAGGAGCAGTTGCTAAAAATAGCACGCCCCATGCCGGACTTTGGCTGCCCTCCTGGGGGACGGGATGGCGACGGTGCCCACCCCGCCCGTCCCGCCCGTCCCGCCGGCGGCTCCCCCTCCTTCCCGTGATGTTCTGCCCATAGCTGATTGGCACTGTGGTCCTGAATGTCCCTCACCACAACTGATTGCGGGTCTCTCCTGAGTCCGTGAGTCCTGGGCCTGGCTCCTCTGAGTAGGACTTGGCACATAATACTTGGCTTAATAATGTGGAACCAACACCATGCCTGAAAAATGGGTCCACTAGGAGAAATAGCGGTGGACACGCAAACCAGGCTGGCCTCAAGCTCACCGTGTAGCGGAGGACGCCCCTGAACTCCTGATGCTCCTGTGTCCACCCCGAGTGCCACCATTGCCCTACTTAGTCAGTGCTGTGGATGGCACCAAGGACTTGCTCTAAGCACCAAGGGCCATGCTACCAGATCCTGGCAGTCACTTTGCAGATGATGGCTTGGCTGTGTGACCTTAGGCAGCTGACTCACCTCTCTGGTCCCTTTCCACCATAGAGAATCTGTACAGCGGGGAAGAAGGAAGTCTAGAATTTAAAATATGAGCATCAAAAGGAATCAGAATCCTTGGGTACTTGTAACTGACAGACAAGTACGGGCTCAGCCAGTCCAGGCTGAAACTCAGCTCCCAGCTTGCATCTTAGGGCACACAATGGCTGCCCAGCTCGTGGCCACCATCTAGCTCGTTAGTGGTGGCAGAAACAAAAACAGAAATGGAAAAGGAAGACTTGTCGGCACCTTTGGAGGTTAAAGCCTGGGGTTGTGCACACTGTTCCTTTTTTAGTTCAATAGCCCCCAGTCAAACGACCTCTCGCCGCAAGGGAAGCTGAGAAATGTAGTCTTCAGTAATCTCAAAGGAGAAAGTGGGGACTGGATCCTGGGTGTGCCTCACTTACCGCTGTCTTCTGGGAGTTAGAGGCTCCATCCTGCCTCCCTCCCACCCCCATGGTTCCCTCTACATTCTTTAAGTCTTTGCTCCAACGTTCCCTCCCCCACAGCTGTGTGACTACGCGCTACCTGCCCTCCTCCCTGGCCCCTTCGGCTCTCTCCCCTACTGGTGGGTGGAAAATGGGAATGGGTGGTAGGGGGCATTTCGGGCTGAATCTCTGCCACTTCTTCCTGACCGCCATCTTCTGCCTTTCATTTCCTTCCCCTGAGAACTGGCAACACCTAAGACCTGCTGCTCTGCCTCTTAAAAAGGAAACCGTGTCTGTCGCTGGCTCACGGCAAAGAGCCCAGGATGACCCAGAAGGCACCGCAGCACCCCAGGCTCATGGCAGCTGCCACATCATCAAATCACACCCAATGAGATGAGATTCCCACTTCAAAACAGGGACCCATCAGACGGGAACCTTCCCCAGATGCGGTCAGGTGTCAGTCAAGCTTGCTCTGGGCTCACAGCCTGGAGAAGTCACTCTAAGACAGGTCCCATGTAGCCCAGGCTGGCCTAGAAGTCTTTATGTAGCTCAGGATACCCTCCTGATCTATATTTTATATTTTTGGTTGTGAGCCTAGCCTTTAATGGCTGAGCCATCTCTCCAGCCCACCCTCCTGATCTAATGGAACTAAGGTTTGGGTGCAGGCAAGTGCTTTACTCAGGGAACTGCATATCTAGCCTGTTTTGTGCTTGTTTTTTTTTTTTTTTCTTTGTAAGACAGGGTCTTGCCATGTAGCCCCGGCTAGCTTCAAAATTAACCTCAGCCTCTGAGTGTGCCCCTCACACTCTGGTGTCAGTCCGTTTCCTCTTCCGGCATCAGGATTCTCCAAAGAAATGGGGTTCCTTGCTGTCCTGAAGGTCACCCCACTGTCCCGCTCCACCCAGGCCCTGCAGAGTCCAGACCCCTACGTCCTCCACCTTGGCAAGCCACGGCCATCCCATGCCAGAATTCTGTTTAGTTTAATAATCTCCAGAAAGTTTAATTGTTCTTTTATTCATTCGTGACCTTTCTCTCTCATCTGGAGACGTATTCATGGCTAATCTACAAACTTCAAGAACCAGATCTATTT